ACGACGTTTTCGAAATACGTGATGCGTGTATGTAACCTATTAATTAAGACTTGATAAGTTTACAGAAGCGAATAGGGGAGGGGTGCGAGTGTATGCAGATTAAAGAGAATTAAAAATAGCGGGACTCGTGTGATTTATTTTTGGACCAGACGGGTATCCAGACCCTCGATGCACCGGGGGCAGATTAACGATACCTGGATGCATGTTCGTTCAACTTTATTGACCACGATGGCCACGTAAATTAAGCGTTGTTATCGATCGAGGTTTCGTACATTTCGGTGTTAACAAGCGAGGAGAATGATAATGGATAATATCAAGGTTGGACTATATCGATATGCAAATTGTGGAGGTAAAAAAAAAAGGGGAGGGGGGAAGAAAGAAAAATGATTTCGAAGAGTTTTTTTTAAGAAGAGTTTCGATTTGGATTCGATTATAATGGAACTATACTACTGGTTGGATTATTAAGAGACTTGTACTACTTGTCGCATCGCGATTGGCCTATGCGTCGCTTGACATATTATCGTTCTATTCTACTTATCCGACCTTCTAACCGTGTCTGGCATCAGAGGTGAGCGAAATTTTAACGATTGAAGTTAAGAATAAAGTTACCTAAAGATAATTTATTATTCAGAGCATCGAATTAACTTTAATGTTGGACGTTTCAATGTATATATGTAATATATGTCAATTATAACAGATACGAAATAAATATTGTTGGAGCATTTTAAATGAAACTATGCATTACTTAAAGTAATTTTATTTTAATTAATTTTTCAATTTTTCAATGAATCGGTCTGATCATAAACGATTTATATCACTTGTCCGTATACGATAATTAGTCCATACCACTATTATAAAATTTAAAATTGTTAAAATTAAATTGTCCAATGTTTTTTTCATTCGAAAAGTGTACAAATAAATATCATATAGACAAAGTTACAGCGAGTTTTGAGAAATTTAAAAATTTTCACCTGTACTATTTGTCTACATATAAGAGACTTGTACTACTTGCCCTTATATATAACCTTTATTGCTTTTCCATTTATCTAAATTTCTGGCATACGTCTGACTATAAACGATAATTTAAAATCGTTCAATATTTTTCCATTCGAAAAGAATAAAAAATAATAATTTAATTACGAAAATTATTGAAAATTAAATACCACGCGGATAAAATATTATAGCATCGTGAATTTTGAATGGAAAAATTTTCAATTATATATATATATTTGTTCAAATATAAGAGACTCATATTACTTGTCTAATCGTAGATAACTTATATTATTTGACCAACCATTACTATTCTTTTCTACTTACTCTCACTTTGTGGCGTGTATCAGTCTGATCTATACTACTTATCCAACAGTAATTATTATAATACTGTTAAAATTTAAAATCGTTAGATTACAATTAAATTGTCTAATGTTTTTCCACTTGAAAAGAATAAAAATAATAAATGTACCAAAAATTATATTAATAAAAGTAAATATCACGTAAACAAAATTATACAAAATATCATTTATTTTGAATGGAAAAATTTCCAATTAGATCACTTGTCTGAATATAAGACTACCTGACCGATCATCACTGTTTTCCTCTACTTCTAGCTTGTATCAGTCTGACGATAAATAAACTTATACCACTTGTCTAAATATACGAGACTTATATTACTTGGCTGATCATAGTTAGCCTATATTACTTTTTTTATTTATCTGGCGTGTATGAGCCTGATAATAAACGACTTGTACTACTTGTCCAATAATAATTGGTCAATACTACTATTATAAAATTTAAAATTGATATAATTAAATTATCCACTCGAAAAGGATAAAAATAATAATCGCACGAAAATTATATTAATGGAATAATTAAATAACACGTCAGAAAAATTTCCAATTATACCACTTGCCCAAATATAAGACTTTTATTACTTCAACGACTATTTATTTTTACTTATCTAATCTTCTAGATCTTGTATCAGTCTGATCAATAAATAAACTAATACCATACTTGTCCAATTTAATAATTAACGTTATTATAAAATTTAAAAGTTGTTAACAATTATTATATCGTCCAATATATTTTTCCACCCGAAAAGCACAATATAAATAAATAAACAATGAAAATGAATAACACGTGGATAAAATTACAATTTTTGAAGAATTTTGAATGGGAAAAATTCCATTGAAAAATTTTGTTATTCTCGCCGCGCCTTAACCGAACCCATTCTACTTGCCCCGTCACACAGACGGCCTATATCACTCGACCTATTCTTTTACTCACTACTAACCTCCGATTCCGCGGCGTCTATCACTTTGACCTATACTACTCGTCCAACGATAATTATTCCCCGCAACTATTATTACAATTATATCGTACAAGTATTATATCAAATCTTATTTTCGTATTTATTAAAAATACATAAAAATACGTATAATTACGCGAAAATTATATGGAAAATAAGTACGTGACGTGAAGGAATTTTTTTTTTTTTTTTTTTTTTTTTTAATTTTTCCAAACCACTAATACCAATCGCACAAGGAAAAAAGCACAAGTTCGAAAATTCGAATAAGACACGCGATCATCTATTAACGTATCACGGAATCCTTTTTTTCGTGTTTACAATGTTCGTGAATAGACATCATTAAAAACCGTTTCCTCGTTATTAATACACGCACAGAAATATATAAGGAATGATAAAAAAGGAAACGTGATAAATCATCGTGTATATATATATATATATGTACAAAATTTAAATAAAGATAAATGTTTCGTTGTGAGCATCAATCGTTTGACGAAAATCGTTTTTCACTGAGCAAAGGCGAAACGAAAATTTTTAAACAAAATTGGACAAATGCAAGATATCGATAAAATTTCAAGGGATTGTAAAAAAATTAATTATATAAATATTAATTATATAATATTATATAATATTAATTAATAATTATATAATATTAAAAATTAATTATATAAATAACCGAATTGGGATGAATAAAAAGTAGAAAAGTATATATATATATATA